TATGTATATATGTTTGGTGGAGTTAATCTCTTTTTTTCAAATAGGGAGCAACATCTTGATAGCTGCCTAAAAGTATAAATGTTACTGGATTTAACTTTTTAGCTAAATAGTTAGCAACATTAACATTAAGCTCCTAAAATTATGCTTCTTTTAAAAGCTTAATGTGACAGGTAGTTGTGATGATAGCATGTTCTCTGCTTTCATGCTGATGGATGAAAGCCTCCTCTTCTTCATTCACCTGTTGCTGGGCATTTAGGTTGTTTACGAGAGCCAGCTATTATAACCTGTGGTGCTGTGCACACTGGTATGCATACATTGCTATGGTTGGTATGATGCTTTTAACTCTTTAGGGAAGATCCCACTGTATTTCAGTCGAGTTCCTCGCGTGGACCCTAGCGCCCACCTGTCTGGCTCCGTCTGCCTCTCACCTCTCACCCCTTGCACTCCGCCAGCCTCTGTGGCCTTTCTTTTGGTGGTGTATCTCAGCTTGCCCCACTCCCAGGCCTCCGCAGGCCTTTGTCCTTCTTAGGCATGCACAGACCCTCAAGTTCGCCTGACTGCCTTCTTATCCTCAGACTCTTTAGGTTCTACCCTAACCTAATGTCACTGTCTTCTCTAATCACTCTCATGTCACTTTTGTTTTCCCTGTTGAGTTTCCATCCTCCGAAAGCACCTTCTCCATCGTTTACTTGTGGGTATTTATGTCTCCTTCTGTGAATTCTAAGGGCCTAAGAGCCGTGTATCCTTGTCTCGCTTGTATTCTTAGTAAGGGACATGATACATTTGTGAATGAATTCATTTAATAAGTTAATATATGTTAATTATAGAAGGTGCAGAATAGCTTGCAAATCAGTCATATTTGGCACTTTCCAGAGATGGTAGCTCATTCAGATTTAGGAGACCTTGATCCTCTGGTTTCACTGTACGTATAGTTTGTGCTTGTAATCTGCTTTTGTCCTTTATGTAATGTGAATGACTTCCGTGGCCTTAATGTTCTTCCACAACATGATTTTCAGCATATTTTGATACTCTAGCCTTTAAAGCCTAATAATTTAGTTATTTCTTATTGTGTATCTGGGGTTGTTCTAAATAACCATCTTTGGGTTTTTTTTTGTTGTTGTTTTTGTATTTGTTTTTTTAATCTTTGTGTATTTGGTCCAGGGTCTCCCTACGCAGGTCAGGCTCACAGTGATCCTTCTGTCTCAGCCTCCCCAGCCCTGGGGTTGCAGGCATGTGCCACCACGCCCAGTTTCGGTGGCCGGCTCAGCACAGGGCCGGCGCGGCATGGGGTACCAGGGATCAAACCTGGTTCCTTGCACTTGCCAGGCAGGTGCTTAGATTATCAAGCTATCTCCCTGGGCCCAAATAAGCATCTTTGAACACAGGGGGTTTTTTGGCATAACTTTGATCTTATGACAATTACAGAAGCGTATTTATCAGATTAGGGAGTACAAGTATTTTTTAGGGTTTTTGTATAGGTTTCTCTAGCCAAATTGCTTTTTTAAACAGTTAATGCGCCCATTGGCTATTGGGACCAATGGGAGAAGAGACCATATTGACCAAGTATTTGTCAACTTAGTAGGTAGAAATTGAGAACTTACATTGGAAAGTTTCACTTGCTTGATAACTAGTGGAGCTGAGGTTTTAGGTGTCCATCGACTGTTTTTGCTTCTTTTAAAGTTATGTGTACCTTTTTTTCTACCAGAGGTTGATCTGTGCTTTTCTTGTATTTAACAAGCATTTATTTCAACATGGTGCCAGGTAGGGATCTAAATTCACTGTTTCGCCTCCCTAAGGGTTCATCACTATGATTGCTGGAATAGTGTTTGCTTCCATTCCTGCATGCAGAGGCTGTTTGCCACAGACTTAATATTAGAACAACAAATACTCTAGTCCCAAAATCAGTTTTTTGTCTAAATGACACATTTTATAGTCAAACCTGATCTATTTAAGTATTGTTAATAATAAAGTTAGTCAGTGCTTAGTGGTTTCAGTGGCATTTAAATGGCTCATATTTTTTCCCCTAAAGCATAGACGTAGATAATAAGTATAAAAGTACAGATAATGGGTATAAAAATAGGCAATAATTTTTCCTGCTTATTATCCACAACTATAGAGGACCTGCCTGTTTTAAGCTTTTGTCCATATCCCAGGTACCACCATGTTCCAGAAAAGGTTGTCTTATTTCTAGTACAAGTAGCCAAATAGGGCCTGGGGAGATAGCTCAGTTGGGGCTTGAGTTCAATTCCCGGCTCTGCAAAAAAAAAAAAAAAGTAGCCAGTGATCCATGGGCACATTAGGGTGGCTTTACAGCCTCGCTTGGTGGGTGGCCACATTGTGATATATTCTAAGTTATAACAATAGCATACATTCAAGAGCTCTTCCTTATGATCCTGTGATGGAATACCATTTTCTTTGGTGTGTTTATCACTTTTTACATTCGACCATATTTGCTAAAATTTAAAGAGAGTTATTAGATTTAAAGGATGAAAGAAATACTTGAAAACAGAAAGCTCCTCTAATGCTATCGAGATATTTTGCGGCACTCCAAGGAATGAACCAGCAGGCCATTCAGAGGCCACGGAGACCATAAATACAACAGAGGTGCTGTGTTTATCGTTGCGCTGTGTGCCGAGGGGCAGTCGGCTGGTGACGTCTGCATCGCCTGGTGCTTGACTCTGTCAGCAAGAGGCAGGAAGGCCCAGGGCTGGCCAGCGTACAACTATGTGCCTTTGCATATTACTTACAGCCTGTAGGATAAGTGCTGCTTTAATTCTAATATCAGGAATTTGTAGTTTAAGTTGCAGTTTTTATTTGCTTTTGTTGAAATTATAAAATAACCCACTACTAATTTCAGATATATGTTCACTGCAGCTATTAAAAGACAGTTGATTTTGTGATAATGTTATATTATTCCCAATCTAGTCCTTTCTATTGCAGTATGTTTTTTAGTCCTTTACTTATTTTTGGAAAAAAACTTGCGTGTGCAGGGCTCAAGAATGGACAGAAGGCTGGAAGGGCAACGAATAAGGGTGTCAGGGAGAAGTGCGGAGTGGCTTGTGTGAGCATGTTGGTGTTCAGTGTTATTTATACCAAAATGTAATCATGAAGAGGAAGAGAAAATAAAGCTTATGCAGAGTCCGCTGTGTTCATTTACGCTAACAGCATGAGAGGACTGTTTCGGAGTGGGGACAGTTAGAATGAGTCCTGTGCCCGGGTCCTCATTGTCAGCCACAGCGAAAGAATGAGCAGGCTTACTGCCAAGAGAAACAGAAAATTGTGTGAACGCTGTCTCTGTTAAACAGGGGACAGTATCTTTTGAGGGATTAAAAATGGAAACTACGCAACTGACTCTTGCAAGATTGTGCAAAAGAACATACGCAGGAATTAGGTCAGCTGACTTTACTATAGGTAAATTAACAAATGGATGAGATTGGATAGTTTTCACTTTGAAAATAAGATCAGTCACTAAAGTATTATGGGGCATTTTAAAAGATTTTTAAGAGTCAATTTTCAGGGGCCGGGGAGATGACTCAGTAGAATAAGCACTTGCCAGGCAAGCGCAAGGGTCTGAGTTCAGTCCCCAGTTCCACCAAAAAAAAAAGAAAGAAAGAAAAAAAAAAAAAAAAAAGAGTCAATTTTCAGGAGGCATTTGTTTATGTTCACTGTTCTGTACATTTTGAGAGGTAGGGAACAAAAAGGAAACGTTTTGAAGTAGGATTTTAATTCTGCTTGAAGCTTAGTGATGTCTGTTTAGACGTCACTGTTTAGATTGTGCGTATATGTGTGAAGTCTGTACTATAATGCTCTTTACTTTAAAAGATGTGTACCCTGAAATGCCGCTTGTATCGTTGTCCTTCTGGGAAGGAATGCTTCTGAGCTGACCGCACCAGTACTGGGCTTGCTGAAGTTGCATTTTTGCTTTTAGATGCAGATAGACAAGATTCCATTAATCTCTTCCTGGGCGTTTTCCATCCTGCTGAAGGGAAACCTCATCTCTGGGAGCTCCCAACAGATTTTTATCTGCACCACAAAAATACCATGAAACTTCTACCAACAAGGAGAAGGTATGTGAACCCAGATTTGCTCTTGTTTTGAATATGAGGTTTCTGCTTCCTTTTGAGAAATAATTACATAGGCTAAGTGGCATGAGTTTACTGTGGCCGATGTCTTGAGGGTCAGCTGATAGAGTTGTAAGTACCACTCGGTGTTTTGCTGAGGTGCAGGGAAAGTTTCAGAGCCTCGTCACTGGCTGGCTGTAAGTGCAGCTCCACTAAGGAAAGCGGCGACACCATTTTTAGAGTTTTATAAATATGAACCCTTGGAGAACCCTGAGATGCAGAAGTTAATCGTTAGTTTTTCATGTGCGACATTCAAGCAGCATTTACTTTGTGACTCCATTGTTCTTCCAAGAGACACAGCCACCCGTGGGTGACACGAGTGAAGACAGGACCACAGAGCAGTGGCGGCAGTAACCACTCCTGTCCCCCATCACTCATTTGGCTTCCAGAATCATTTACGGGCATAGGTTATTTGACTATTGCTGAGTTTGTGTGAATATTCTCAAAAGGTGAACAGTTTACCTGAAGCATTTTAATACATTGCCCTGTGGTGTAGCCCTCAAAGACAGGGAGGGCCAAGCTAGAATCAGAGTTGGGAGAATTTGGACGAGTTCTTTTTTTTTTTGGCTGGCTCAGGCTGCCATAAGGGCAGGTCCAGTAAGGTATGTGGAGCTGGGGATTAAACCATGGTATCCTGCAAGCAGGCCCCCCTGGACCAGTTCTTTAACGAGTCTCATTTTCCTGTCTGCAAAAGGCTGGGTGCATCTCTGAAAGCTGTGGTAAAGACTTGTCCGGGGATTGAACTCAGGACCTCGTACTAGCCAGGAAAGTGCTTATGCCACTGAACTGTCTCCCCAATCCACTGTGATGAAGACTTAATGGGCAAGATCTTTAGTGGTGGTAGCTGAGAAGCTGTGTACTTCTGTAACCAGTTGTGCCACATAGCGGCTGTTGTTCTTGAGGATCGGCCTTGTGCCCACAGGCCTGCAGTGAGGATGGGCTTATCAGAGTGCTCCTTTCTCAGTGAATGCATTTCATATAACCCTTATCTGTGCACCCATTCCTCCCAAATGTCACGAGGGCCACTGTCAGCCTGTGCTGAGTGTGTGTGTCTTAGTTACTTTTTTCATTGTGGAGACAAAATACCCAACACCCAAAGTTGAAGGAGGGAAGCTTTGTGCCGCTCACAGCTTGTAGGGGCAGAAGGGCATCGCAGAGCAGGAGCGTCCAGGCAGGAGGCTGCACAGCGGTGGGCACAGCAGCAGCGGCAGCTGCCACGGCAGCCCTCCTTCTGCCCCTTACGTTCTGTCCCGGCTCCCTGGCCTTCACACCCAGGTGGGGCAGCTGTAAGCCTAGCGCTGCACTGTGAGTCAGTCCCAAGCCACATCCTCGATGCCGGCATCACGCACCCCAGGTTCAGCCCCCTCAGAAAAGCCCCACCTGTGACTGCATGAGGCCCTGTGGGGACAAAGCCATAACTGTGTATGGGCCACCAACAACTGATAAGCTAGCCAGTGGTGGTAGTACAGGTCTCACCAAGCTCTGTGTTGCTGGCAGCATGCTTAAAATGTTGTGCTTAACTATCAGAGTTTAAATGTTTCTCACATTTGTTCTGACCAGAACATAATCCTGGAGCTTACTTTCCTTAAAAATGAAGCCCTACTGGTTTTCATATTGAACTTATTTTTTCATTTTAATGAGGAAAAAAAGATAAAATAGCAACAAAACAGTTTCAAAACAGGTTGGTAGGACAGTTACAATAATTAATACATTGCATATTGTCTTCGTAGTAGTTATTCAGAGGACAAGATACAGACATGATATTTCAATCCCCGGTTCCGCAAAAAAACCCAAAAACAGTATTTTATTTATACTTTTGCAAAGTTAGTAAGGTAACATGAGGTTTGCTAGAGACTAATGGCTGACTTTAAGCAGACAGGATGTTTATCTCAGGACTAAGGTAGCTTGTTTGCATTAGGCGCTGGGGTCTAAAAAGGTGGGCCCGTGGTGCAGTGCATAACGCGTCTGACTGGATCAGAAGATTTTTAACTTATTATTGACAAACGTTTATTCATGTAATTGTTTGCTGACAAAAATTTTTAACTAATTGTGTGTATTTGGATAAGTGATAAATGTAAATGACTGTTTTTAGCTTTGCTGATGACAGCTACAGGTAAACCCCCAGCACTGAATCTGTTAAGATGTGACATGGACCAGTCAGTCAAGGGCACTCTGCTGCTGTGCCAAGGCGCTGTGTATCGCAAGTGTAGATTAATGAGTCTTGGTTACTTTTCTCTCAGTGCTAAAACAAAATACCCAACACCCAAAGTTAAGGGAGGACAGGTTTATTTAGTGACCAGTGTATAGAGGTTTTCAGTTCATCGTCAATTAGCCCCAAGGTGGGGCGGCACGTGACAGAGGAGAGACAGCAAAAGCAGTGGGTGGAAGGAAGAAACCAGCCTCTTTCCACCCCTGCTGTCAGATCTGTACTGCTGGGATTAGGGCGGTGCCAGTCCAATCAGTGTGTTAATCTGGAAGTCGCCCATCCTCAATCCCAGCCACTCAATCCCAGCATTAGACCATGAATCGGTCACAAACTCTAGATTCAGCCACCTCCAGAAAGCCAGCGCCCCCCGCCCACACCACATGAGGCTTTGGGGGGACGCGGAGCCACAAAGTATAGCACTTGGTTTCATCTTGAGCCACATAACTAAGACAGGCTGTTTGGTAGCTGATGTGTGGAAAGAGGCTCTTATTACAACCCTGTTTTCTAAAAAACAAAGCTGAAGTACAGAGAGGTTGTGTCTTGACTGAGATGATTCAGCTATGTAGAGGATTCAGGGAGGACCAGCTAAAACCTGCCTCTGAAACTAAAATGCTATCCAAGCAGATAGCGTGGTTTACTCCCTGCTTGTGGTTTTCTAGAATGTTAGGCTGATGTATGGAATTCTTAGTTCATACTAGTTTTTTTGTTTTGTTTTGTTTTGTTTCGTTTTGGTTTGGCAGAACCGGGGATTGGACTCTGGCCCTTGTGCCTGCCAGGGAAGCACTTATTCTACTGAGCCATCTCCCAGCCCCCGTACTGTTTATGAATAGTTGCTGTAAATGCTCTAAGAGGTTTCAGTGTGTTGTTTTGGCCTTTTTAGAATCACCAATCTGTGCAGGTTAATTTGCTGACAGTTCACTCGGTACACTTCTAAAAATAAAGGCAGAACTGGGGCAGCAGCAAGACACCAACACAGCAGAGCCAGGTTGGACTTCCTCCAGCCGCCTCATGAGTTGTCACTTTCTGTCTGTAAAGTGGAGATGCCTGCGCCCTTGCTAAGGTCACTGGAGGCTCAGGGGACAAACCGTGCGGAGAGTGCCTAGCTCAGCACCTGGTGAGAACAAGCACAGCGTGCAGCGGCCAGCCTCGGAGTGCCTGACTCCAGGTACTTCCCGGGTGGCTCGGGCTGCATCACTCGGCTGGTCGAGTCCCGCTCCTGCATCCATCAAAGAAGTGTCCTCTGAGAGTCACACTATGGCATAAGTGCAGCACAGAGCCTAATAAATATTAGTCTCACTGTTATTATTCTATAAGGAGTTGGATTTCCTATTTCCTTCAGTAAAAATCATGTAAAATGTGAAAACTTAGGAAATATTTTCCCACTATCATGATGAACTGCAGCAAACACCTTACTCTGTCTTTTTACACTCGCACACATCCTTGGAGTTATGCTGGGGTAGCAGTTCATTGCAAAAGGAACTGGGGTGCCAGGGAGATAGCTCAGTAGAATAAGCACTTGCCTGGCAAGTGCAAGGGCCTGAGTTCAATCTCCAGTTCCGCAAAAAAAAAAAAAAAGGAAAAAGGAAAGGGAGTGAGTAAAGTGCCACATGGCGCCACTCATGGAATGCGCTGCTTGCATTTTTGTAAGGTGATTCCATTGGCTATACAAGCCACATTTTCTTTCTCTTTCTCTTTCTTTTCTTTTCTTTTCTTTTCTTTTCTTTTCTTTTCTTTTCTTTTTTGGTGATACCAGGGATTAAACTCAGGACCTTGTGCTTTCTAGACAGGCACTTAAGCTATTGAGCTATCTCTCCGGCCCACATACCACCTTTTCTTTAACTGTACCTGCTGAGGGACATGTGGGCAGATTCTAAGACCCAACTACTTGTGTTGTTGCTGTATAAACGTGAATATGCATGGATCGCTGTAGTAGGACGTGTTTAATTCTTCAGTGGTTGTGCTAGTTTACATTCCCACCAGCCATGTAGAAGGTTCCTTTACGCATTGTAGCCTTGGAGGCTTTTCCCCCCCTGTGGTGGGCTCAGCATGCTCAGGGAGTGGGGCTGGTATGGCATGTGATGCTGGGGATCCAACCCTGGTCCCTGCACTTTGCCTAAGCTTGCCTAAGCAGGTGCTTTAGACAGCTGAGCTGTCTCACTGGCCCTGGAGGCATTTATTGTCTTTGTTTTCATGATAGCCATTCTTTCTGAAGTGAGATGAAATCTCAGTATTGTTTAATTGCATTTCTCTAGTGACTAGAGGTATTGGACTTTTTTTCCAGGTATTATAGCCATTTTTACTTCTTCTGAGAAGGGGCTATGCATTTTGCTTGCTAGTTCTTTGATTGTGTCTTTTATTTTTGGGGACAAACTTTTTTTGGGTTCTTTCCCTAGCTTAGGTATTAGTTTATCTGAGGTGTAACTTACATAGTGGTTTCCCCTTATTGGTTGTTTTCTTTGCTTTGCAACTTTTTAATTGGAGATCATCATATTTGTTAATTGATTATAATTATTATTTGTGTAGTTAGTACAGGGTCTCACTATGTGGATCAGACTCGTAGTGATCCTCCTGTTTTCAGCCTCCCAAACGCAGGGGTTAGAGGCACACACCACCGCACCCAGTCTCAAGCAATGTCTCAGTATGCCCAGGGGGCACAGCTCCCCGGAAATCAAGACCTGCTGCTGTGCTCAGCCTAAGCAGGCCCTTTAGTCTGCTGAGCTATCGGTTCAGCCCTAGAAAG